ATTTTACAGATAGCTTTTTAATAATAATTGCAAATCTATAATGACAAATTCAACCTGCTAGCATCGTTCAAGTATACATATATAGCTTATACATCCTTAATGGTCTCTCCATGATATAATAAATTTGTACATAGCATGTTTTGATAAGATCATTACACATTTATGTGCCAATTCTGACTGATCTCCCTATACGTGCTAATATTTCTTCTCTTGCATACAGTTTGCAAGTTATTTGATGCCAGAATTGATACAAAGGAATACCAGAATGAACATTTCGGTAGCTCTATCGAGGAATGGATTACGTCGTATTATTAATGTTAATCCGACATAGTCTCAGCACATGCAGTCAGCTTTACTACATCATCATGCAAGTGTGTCATAAATACGTATGTACAGATGGCTAGCCAGCGTGCTAGTAGGTATATGTATGTATATTATATCGCCGGGAACGGCGTGGAATCGCACTGGGCTGTCCGTTTTCTCGGACGGCTAACCCAGAAAATGCTCGTTGGCGCTTTGTCCTCTGCCTCGGGGACACGACTGCCTTGAGCTTTCCGCAGAAAGGACCCCGGAAATTAGTAAACGAGAAATTCCTTGAGAAAATTCCGTGCCGCTTTTGGATTCTAGTTAAAATTCCGGTCGTCGTTCTTGTCTCCTCGCAGAAACTTTTCCCAGATGCGAGTTAGATGAGAGAAACGGGAGCTCGGTCTATCAAAAGATGGCAGTCATTAACCGGGGTATAATTACATGTTCTTGATGCGGCGCATTACTTTGCCAGTGAACATATAAAGAGTAGGAGATAATTTTTATGAAACTTCTGTGGACGTTCAACGAATAAAATATTCAACGAATGGAACTACGGCTTCAGCTTTCGTTAGAACTTTATGAATGAACATCATATTTCTTCAAAGCACGATCACCTTCGGTAATGGAAAAACCTCGAGCGTCAAGGGTTAATCGATGAATAGGACGGTGAATCGGCGTTACGAGGGATAGATGATAAAGGGGTGAATGGGGCGGAGACGAGAATAAAGCGATTGACGAAGCAACCGACCGAACTGGCGGATTATCGGATTAACCGGTATATCCGGTGTGCGTAAACTCCGGGAAATGTACGTGTATCGTTATCAGGATATATCTACTTCTAATAATTAAAGTGATCAAGTGACACTCATCACCTAAGACGTTGGGTGTGATCCTATTTTCGCATCTAAATTAAAATCTATTTAACTGTGTAACAAATATGTCAAAAGTAGAGCGAGAAATCAATAAGTTAGGGATAATCGTTTAGGGTGTTGGAATTAAAGCTGCGCGTGACGGTATGTGTGCACCCTGTCGCGTGTCCCAATAGGATTTCGCGAAATTAACGTATGACCTGGTTCCCGGGTCGAACGAAAGGAAGTATGCGTGTACGTGGATGCATACATACGGAAAATACGTAGCACAAGAGCCTCTAGGACTCCATGAAAACAAATTGCCGGCTCGTTGTCGTGGCAGTGGCAAAAAGGTCCGCGTTTCGTGGCCGATGGGTCGCGAGGTCGATGCTCTCCGGGCGTGCCGTGCAGTGCCGTGTGACGGGAAAACGAGCGAGAGGAACGCGAGCCAGAGGATATATTCGAAGGAACGCGCCCGCGTGTCACCGAGGAAACGTCCGCGAAAGTATTTTCCGCTTTGTCGCGTCGCGCAGAGAACGTCGACGACGACGACGACGCGACGGTCTCGTATACGGGCTTAAATAAGCCTCGACGATCCGTCGCGACGCGTCGTCGTGCCAGAAACACTGCCAGAGCGAATACATCCCCGAGCCGAGTTTTATCGGCTTACCCCTACTACCGAACAAACGGCGAACTTACCCGGTAAACTTTCTCTCCCGCGTTCTCTATCAATTTCATCGTCGTTCGTCCCGGGTCACGCGCGAATCTCGAGGAATGCAATTAAGAGCGTAACGCTGTCCGCTTCCCGAGCTTGCCAAGCGACAATATCTTGGACAGTAACGAGAAGAACAAAAACTGAAATCACTTGCCGATTCAGCTAGTAGAGTGAGGATCTTTCACGGATCTTTAGTCTAACACGGGATGCTGTTTAACTGACGAGTAAATCACAACGAATTTTTCAAATCAACTGTTGAGTACTATTCCTTGTAAGAGGTTCTTTTCGAATTGTAATTATCTTTACAACGAGATTCATTGTAAACATTTTTATTTCATCTATGCGATATAATGGCTTTATTCAGATGTTACGTTAGTTTCGTTCAATGCAAATTGTGATCGAATAGGACAGCCGTTTCTCTTCTCCCTTGTTTCCGATCTTATCGTTTCCTCGAAAGTTGGCTACAATCTAAAAGATATTGCGCACTTTGTGTATCTTGCAGGTGCTCTTGTTTCCCGAGGAGGGCTGGGCAAGAAGCGCGAGCAGTTCCTATTGGACTTTGACGCCGTTCTGGTGGAGTCGAAGTCGATGCAAGGTGGTCGAAGTAGCTGGAACCAGGAGGTGAGTCTCGTTGAGTACCGAAAACGTTAACGATGGGATCCACCCAGCGAAGAAAGAGGGGGTGGTTGCAGCCGGGTCGCGCGCGCACGTACACCGTTATGACGTTTCAGCTATAATCGTATTCCCACCGCGAACGGAAATTTGTGCTTTTAGGTTACGTGGGCGGAATCCCTATCCCTTGCTTAACGTTGCCGCCACCCGAGAATTACAGGGACGATGCGTTCGAAATTACCGCTACCCTCTTATTTCCTCCTCGTAACCCCCTTCTCCCACGTTGGCGCTCCGTTTTCCCTTTAACCTTTCCAGTTCTAATCTTGATATATACATTTTCTCCGAGGTTCGTACCTCGTAACAATTATCTATTTTCGACATTGACATATTGTTTTCTATTTTAGATTATAACGATACAACCTTGTAATATATATAATATATAAACCTTGAGACCTTACCGCAAATATATGACACGGATTCTATTTTTGAAAAATTATTCATTATCAGTTTACGCTGTATACATTAACAGCAGATCGACGATGCACTAACCGTGTTCTGAGTGAGAAATCGGCGCTTGCAGCGGAACAAGCTTTGAGCGTTCCCCCCCGGGAATTTGTTCGGCACCGCCGCGGCTCGGTATCGAGACCGCGTTAAGTCAAGGCAAACAAACCGGATCCTCGATTCGTATACTGCTTCCAACTTTCGTACGGAGCTACACAGCAAACACGGCTCCGCTCCGACGGTGTTTGCAACCTTGGACCGCGTTCGCACGCGACACCGGTCAAAGCTCGCGATTTCGTTTCTGGATGCTCCTAAGGTCCGGGTCAGAGTTGCAGGAGTACACAGTCGAGTATTAATCGTCCGCTTTGATGAAACTTTTTGCAGACTTGCAATTGTATTACGGCTCTAATCCGAAATCTTAATGACTCACGAAATACTAAACCAGAATTGAGATGCAAGGAGATATCGCTAATTTAGAGAATGCGTGTGTTCTCACAAATGAATCAATATCATGTTTGATATCATCCTTTGTTTGTTGATTTTATTATCAAATCTTGGAAAATGAAACTTGGTTTTATAAAATATAATATATTCAGTCGACGAGTGTAGTTTGAGTCGTCTCATGGTAAATGCATAAAAAGATTATTTTTATCTGATCTGTAAATACATTAGTATACGGTTTTGCGAACGCGGCGAAAGTTTTCTCGAAAATTATCCCGCGAAAGTGAAACAGAAGAGAGAAAGTGTTTAGTTCGCGCTTACGGTTTATCGACGCCGATTGAAATTCGTCGACCGCGATGTTTTATGGAACAGTCTAGCAGTTTAGCCTGTGAATCGCAGCCGATCCCGATAGCGCGCCGTTAAGTTAACGCCCGCGCGTTGGCGAGTTGGAAGAAATTTTATTCGAGCGAACGGGTGAAAAACGAATAGAAGCGAAACGAAGCGAAGCGGAGCGGGCAATCGATGCTTGTACGCGTAGAATGGAACGCGAGGCATCGAAAGGGTGCTTCGCCGCTTGGAACTTTCCCTTGCGAAGCGAATCGAGGAGTACGCGGCGGCGGCCGTGGACGAGGTATAGGGGTTGGGGGGGGTGAGGTGGGGGGGAGTAAAAGTCAAAGCGGCAGCCAGAGCCACGGTAGATTTTAAACCGAGTGTTGGATCCGCCGCACTTCAATGGAGAGCGTTTAAACTTTTAATGATCGTCGCCGGCTGAAGCGCTCGCCGGAATAAGCCCCTCGAGTCCCACCGGGTAGGGCTGCGCTCTTCTTCTCTCCTCTCCTCTCCACCGTCTTTCTCTTCTCTTCGCTCCCTCTGCTTCCGAAAACGACTCCCCATCCCGCATTTTTTTCCTCCCGACCACTCTTTTCTTATTAATTATTCTTGGCTCGTTTCGCGGGCACGATTTCTCCTCGGCCGACTAGAGCGGCACGTTTTATTTATTCTCGCACGTTTCGCGAATTCCGTCCCGCTCCCGCCGCCCCCGTTACGCGTTCGCGTCGCACCCTTGCCTCGTCCTCGGGAATTACTCACGGTTTTAAATCGGTTTAACTACCCGCGAGATCGCCACCACGTGTTCGTAATTCTCGTTTCCTGCGTGGTCGGTCAAACCACTTTAAGCTCTTCGAATTCTCGCACTGAACTGGTACTGTCTGATGTCTATGAAACTGGAGTAATCCTGTGACTGAAAACTGGGAAATTATTTTACTACTGTTCAGAAATCATCTTTTCTTCCGTCTAATAAAAAATCGCGATAAAATTCTAGCAGTTCTGATTAAATATCTCTGTCTGATCTGAGAGGAATCCTAAAATCGAGAAATTTGCACGTTTGTGTCGCTCGCTGTACATAAAAAGTTGTAATTCGCGTAACGCGGTAGGCGAGGGGACAGGTAATCGCATTAGCGATTCGCGAAACGATAAAGCGCTTAGGTACACGCGAGCCAGTGAAATGTTGACCCGTGAGAATCGGTACGGCTGTCCGTCGGAATGCTTGTTCCTTTAATTCGATATCCGCTGGAAATAAACCGGCTGCTTGTACGTGAAAACGTACAAACAAGGAAACTCTTGCCCATTAAATTCTCATTAAGATTAAATCTGTAAAGAACTTACCTACACTTTCTCCGTTTGGCGTATCGTTTGCGATGGTCCCAGTTAAAGGCAATAAATGTTCCTTTATTTATATGCTCGTTCGATCGGTTGTTCTCTCCAACTAACTAAAGTATTCAACGCACCGCTATGAAGATTAATTAAATATTGTTCGACATGCGAATCTCCAAACCTATTAATAAATCAGTCAAGTGTACGAACTAAGCCTTCTACTTTGCCTTGATATTAGACCCACGCATCTGTACTTGTTTAAATGATATGCGAACATTGTAAACGATGCGCACGAGGAGCTGATAAATTTTTTAAAAACATTTATTTTTCGATAAATACGCACCACCTCCGTCACCTGATTTGAATCTGTTATAGGTATAGCACTCAGGCCAAAATGGTAGACACGGGGACAGGCACGCTTTACATAATCGGCTCCTTCAAGAGGATGACCACTGATCCCGATTTCAAGGTATCTTACATGGTTTTCCACTTATAAATTCAATATATCGAAGCGGATCAATTAATTAAGGGGATAGGGTACTCATGTGACTTTTCAAACACGCGTCGGTAAAATTTTAACGTTTTTTGCTGTTTTATCGATAACCAGGCAAAAATAGAGCAAAATATGGGTTTACGGGAATACACTTTTCGTCCTTATATGAGAATATTTTCCGGTTGTCAGGTACCTCTTCAGAAAGAAAAAAGTCAAATCTGGCGCGATCTGGTCATTATTTAATCAGAGTCTACCCCTTTAACTGTACAGAACAGAAAATTCACATAAAAAGTATTGAAATAAATTCCACGTAGAACGAGTCAGATAGTATTTCTTTTTCCTCTAAAAAATATTGCAATCTTCTGAGATGAAATAAGATTAGTAACAATGATCAGTATAAAATGACGTATCGATACATCTGGATGTGAAATAGGACTGTGACCGTCGGTATTTTTCTGTGGACAGTTGTACCTGACGTCGAACGTGTCGTCGAGCGACTTCAACATGGGCTACAGTATGACGGGCACGTTGGAGCGCGGCTGCAAGAAGACGAACTCCTTCCAGATGACTCATTTCGCAGTGATTCGTCGACGAGACTACGAAAAGGCGTACGAGGACTCGAATCCCACCTAGTGCCCGTCCACACCCACGCTATCCGAGTGCGTGGACTGCGAACATTACGCGTAGCAGGCGTACAGAAGGAAAAGCAACACGGGTGTTTGAAACCGAATTACATAATGCATATTCTCGATCCGAGCGCTCCCGACGATCGAGCGTTTCCTCACGGTTCTATTCCATCGGGATCGAATTCTCCGCTCCGAACCGCGATACGAGAAATCAAAGAAGCAAGCAAAAGAGAAAACCACAACACGTCCAAAGGTAGCGTTTAACTTAGGTCGAATTTAAGTAGTTTTTAAAACTAGGCGGCGAACGAATACCGAAAGTCGAGTATACATGCACACGGGGTAACGGTGATCGAGGAAAAAAGTATTCACTAAAGTATTAGCACGTAAGTTATTTCCTACGCGTCCTTCTTTACGCGATGCTTTATCGTCCACCGACAACTTTTAATCGGGTAACCGGAAAAAGTTTCCAAGGATTTATAGTACAAGACTCGACTAATTCTTAAATGTCAATATTAATCACAGTTTCTCTGACTTCCGTCAATTTACAGGTTTACATTATTTTCGATCGTTTGATTAAATTAATAGTTTTCTATGATAAATCTGATTAAATGAGTTTCCTAGCCAACTATTATAACTCCGCATAAACTTTTTCTAAAGCGTATCGCGTACCACGCTACGAACTTTCCTGATTTCACTGATATTTTAGTGAACGAAAGCCGCCGGTAGGAATCCGTATCTGATAAGATTATCTCTATCTTACACCTTAACTCTTTCACCAAAAATTTATAATGTACTTCATTGAATTCATTTTACTTTTGAATGATCTGTACATCCCTAAAGGCATTGCCAATCATTTTATCAGATACGGGTCGGCCGACTTGTTTCAATTTTTTCCGTTGCTAGCGAACAAAAAAGCGATAAATCCTTTGCTTCCGGATTGGTGGTACGTCTGTCGCGTAGCGGCCTCACGCTTCGACCTATACTTATTTTTGTTAAAAAAAAGGCGGTAGAGAGACGCGTAGAAAACGGCCGCTGCGCGACCATCGCCTCTCATCGACTTTCTCGAATCGACTCGATCGCGTTCGATGCTCGACTCCTCGTAATCGTGATTTGTACACACAATTTTTGTACCTTCGGCTTTGCTCAATAATCTGTGTATGTAATCTAAATACCAAAGAAAGAAGAAATACCACGGCAAACATAGATACGTAAGCTACGATCGTAAATTTATTCTGAGCGTTCGATGATTAGCAAAACGCGCTCGTCGGGCTAATTCGTTTGATTTTATAATTACGTCGATATTATACGCGTTTCTGATAGTCGGATCTTTTTTACTCTACACATGCATGTATATTCTTTTTAAACGTTAATCGAAGCAAGTTGTATTATACATTGCTATACGCGTTAACTATGAAACCAATAAGAACTGTCCACCTTTCTCGTATCGTTAAATTTTTAAGTATAATTCGATTTATGATAAAATCTAGTCTAGTGCAATCCTCATATTATACGACGTTACGTTCATACTGTACAGGGTACTCAATGATACGTGGGCAATATGTCAAGAACTGACTGTTATTTGACTTCTCCCGGCGCTTATAGATGCTGACATGTTACGCCCTGAAAATCTTTGATTGGTTTTATAGTTACGCAGCGGTTTATTAATCGTTATGATGTTTGCGGAGGACAGTGTAGTTGCGACAGAAGAAACGAAAGCGATCGAATCCAAGTAGACAGTATTCTGTGTGCCATCTACTTAGATACATATAGGTAGATATAGTCGACTGCTATTACGCGTTACAGGGTTGAAATGGTTTCGTTGGCGAATCGACGAGGATCACGTTATTCTTTTATCTCTTCGTTTCCAACAGGGAATGCCCCGATCTTTTATTATTATCAAGAGAACGATCTTTCGATTCCTCGCCGATTCGCGATTACGCCACAGATGGAGAATCGCCAATAATATAGAGTTAACGGGATGTTCGTTTGACAGCTGGTAGGTAGAAGTTTGGAAAAAAAATTTGATCGATGTTATCGTAGAATATTAGCGTAGATTTAGATACGTGACGCTTTTTCTAGTAGATTCTCTCTGGTAGGATTTCTAGTAGACTAGACTTACCAGTAGTTGCTGTAAGTAAAGTAGATTTGTTCGACGTTAATGAGACCCGGTGATAACTTTGTGAATGCGTACGTATTTATAATTCAACCGAATGAGTATGAGAAATAGTCGGAAATATTGGAATATTTCCAGAACGTGAGGCAAGAAAATTAACAAAACAGTCGTTCTCCTATCACTTTTTAATATTCCTACTTCTTCATTGAACATCTTATCTTTATTCATATAATAAGCTGACAGATAAAAATTGGAGTGAATTTATGGCGCGAGAATTATCGTTCGGTTGGATTATATCATTTTACGCAATTGGCATGAAAGAACAAAAAATTGTCGTAATGTATTGTTGCAAGTTCGTGTACTTTTATCACACAATTTCCAGTTGAACGTAAAATAGTATAGCGACAGCGTCTACGGGTCTCATATAGATGTTCGCACGCTCGTGTAGAGAGAGAAAATACGGTAGGTAAAATTCTTGTTCTGTCTAATGTCTTCATACACGAAAGCACAAACTTAAACACAAACATAAACACAAACACAGATACAGACATATACAAATCTCTGTGTTCGCTTATTTTCAAGGTAGCCGATATACAAGTAGATATTTAGATATCGGTAGATAGCGGTTTAAGTGAACGTATACGTCCGATATCACGGTCCCTCCTAACTACTTAGCCGTAGCTTCGGCCCACCGATGCAAGCTCTCGTCGAATTCGAAAACGGTATCCATCTTCGTCAGCTGCACAAACGGGTCTCTAGTCAGTTTCACTCTTTTAATCTCTCCCGCTTGCCGGGTTCCGTTCAAAATCGCTGGTCCCCATTTTTCGGAAAATTATAGAAAACTGAGATTGATTCACGGATTCTCCCGGCTCTTATTCTTCTAGTCCAGATGTTACAATATTAGCACGAATATTTTAATCTTCTGCCTTTCTATCTGAATATTTAATATAGCTATATTCTTTTCGTTTAGAACTTAATTGTCGGTTAACTTTCTTGATAAATTACGAATCGATGCATTGAAAATCGGATTGTATCAGTAAATTATAAGTCGAATATTGTCACTTTGATGAACTAATTTAATGAAAACCTATCAAAGCTATTAAATAATATAATATCTGTTATTTACGTTTCATAAGTCCTGGGCGAAAATAAGAACTGTACGAACTCGTGTAATGATTGTACCGATGACCGTACTGTTTGGACATTGATACGGCGATTGGAACGGAGAACAGTGAGCGGGTTTAGAAGTCGTCTATGCCCTAAAGTAGAAAGATTTAACAAAGTAGACTTGTGGTAGTGGTAGTCGTAGAACAGTCGATGTGATCGTTAATTATTATCATCGTCATCGTCGCTTTTTCATCGCCAGCTGTGGCCCCGTTCGTCGATGCGACGGTCGCGCGTCCTCGTTTCCTCGTCGTGTCTTCGCCGGCCCTGTGATCGCGTCCGAGCAGCATATTTTTATTTTTTCTAGCCACCAGAGACCGATCTACGAATCGAGCGGTAATCGCAGCGACGAAGGGGACCCCGATCATAGCGAAACGCCGATAGTCGACTTCGTGCTAGAGAATCATAATGGAGTAAGTGAAAATCTTGATTTTAACTCTCCCGTAGAGATAATTATCGTAATCGTAAAAATCGAGAATCATTGAGAGATGTATAAGCAAATTTTTTCAAGGAAAATAGCCGAGATAACAAGTTCACGTTTCATACTTCCAATATTCTTGCTACCTATGACACATATCATCACCATATATTTTTATTACTGTGTTTATGACCACGCTGATATTTTTATAGTGTAGATAAAATATTTATTTATAGGGACACTTAGCCACAATTCAAGCAGGCAACCATTCGTCCTTTATTTACAACCGTATCAGACATTTTATATACGTTTCCTTAGTACATCGCATATTTCATTCGTATCCTCAAATACACTTTAAACCCGCGAACATTCGGCATCTATTTGTAACCATATTTATATACCTGACTTTTATTCAGTGCGTAAACATTTTACAGCCATATTATCTTTTAGAAGCCATTCTGCAGACCTGAAGATACCCATTAGATACATACGCAATCAATTGACTTACTCCATTATAATTTTCAATCGCTGTACGCAAGCATAGATTCGATAGTGGACACAGGCACGGTAGAAGAGTAGCTCGATTTTAATTGGTACGCTTGTACCCTAATTCAGTTTCGTTGAAAGTAATTCCTTCGTCTAGTCTAGTTCAAATAGCTCAAGCTGTCTGCTCCCTTCTGATTTGTTTGGTTTGGTAGAATTGAATGTACGTAGATAATTAGAATGTATGTACACAGAATGTAGTAACACAGTAGCAAAGCTTACATCTCTTTATTGCCGAAACATGATGCATACATATATATTATAAACTATGCATATACATACACGTAATTATTATTAGTCTTCTGAATGCGAACAGAAACGTATTCGTATTCAAAGCTATGGCTGTGATTTATGATATTAACTGGATGAAACGGTTCGTAAGATACTAACTATATGTATAATATATATACACACATAGGTATATTATAATGTAACTTATAAGTAGGTTTATGACGACGCATGTACTATAGCGACAAGCGATATTTTGCCAAATCGTTGCGCTCAACAAAGGGCTTGCGTTTTCCTCCGATATGTTAACGCAAGATTTCGGATCAAAAAAATTTCGACAAGCGATTCGCGAAACCGTCCCGGAAATGCTGTACACGTCTGGGAGATCGTTTGGAACCGGATTTCCCCTACTAAATATGCATCAATTAAATTCTTCACATATAATTTCATATAAAGGCTTCGTATATCATTTTATGTAAAGGCAGAACATGAAGTGGCTACGAAGATATATGGTTCCATATTTAATCAAATAATTATTAGAATGTTCAAAACAACAACAACAACAACAACGATACTCGATAAGATGTAATCAAGCTTGAATGATTAATGACTGGAGGAATCATTGAAATTTCAGATTCTTGACGATAATTCTAAAAACGGTTCGTGAATCACACAGAATGTTTTGACTGAATCTTGCGCAATCAAATGTATAATACTATGAATTTACAGGAACTTGACTGGCGCTCGTATGAACGCGATATGTTCCATCGTCCGGTGCTAAAATGATGCGTTCTTCTCCTAATACGTCTGTCTCTTACCCTGTAAAACTCAAAATAATCCTTTCTGTCCACCGATTTGGCCCTCCCTTCCTCCCTTGGTATCGAAAGCAACGAACTATCGCCGCCGTGACTAAAGAAGTACTGGCGGCGGTCCAGAATCAAAACGGAACACAGAAAGAAATCAAAGATTGCGATGAACGTTGCTCAGAAGAAAGTCGGCGATTAAGTATAATATTTTGTATCGTAGAATACCGCCAAAGTTGATGCCACCGATGTGTCAGTAGTAAATTCTGTGGTTAAGTGCATTTCTGGATCGAGTTGAAACCATTTAAAATAGCCATTAATTACATTGCAGCACGTTAAGTTCAGTTCAATTTTAATCAAACCCGAACATTGTTTTTTGCTGTATTGATTTATTTTTTATTGCTGTATTAATAATGTAGGCGAGAAAAAGTGTCATTTTAATGGTTTTTACTCGATGGTCACGGACAGTATGAACGGTTTGGATATCGGATGTTATCGCACCGAACGGTACGAGATTTCACCGGTATGATTAATGGTAAAGGAATCGACGCGATTCGATGGCGAGGCGAAGGGTCGCGCCGATATCAAACTTATAAGCCCGGATAATACCGGTGCGAAACCGATAAAAGAATAAAAGAAAAATAACGCGCATCGATGTATTTTCACTACAGTCCTGTCTACAGTCAATTCATTTTGTATTTATACCTAATCTATGTATCTATCGTCATAATTTATGCCGAAATAAATGTTACATTTACGCACAACGGAACGATCGCCATTTTATCTGTCCACCTTCCACTTCATCGTTACGTTACAATAATACTTGCCTTTGATATTACTTATTTCACGATTAGCATGCATTATGCCAATATCGTTTCCATAAATCATTGGAATGAGGTAATACACGCATAGATGATTCACTCTACATAGTTTGTAATTCATATGCCACTTGGTCTATTTCTTACGTAAACCACTACTGCAACGATTAGACTTCTTTTCGTTGAGTGCAAAGACAAGTACGTCAGTTCTTAATTTCAGAAAATTTGCCTATTACTGATAGGAGTGCACTCATTGTTCCAAAATAGACGGTGATCGGTGAACGTTTAGCTTGGTCGGACGTCAATTATCGAACATTGGAGCGCGAGTATCTAATTAACGCGACGCGACAATGCATTTAGGTGCGCTGTTCGAACGCCTCGAAAATTTCACCACTTTGTATGCGTAGGCGCGGTGGTGCGGCGAGTCGATCTGCAGCAAGCAGGGCTCTGGCTCGAAATAACTTCGTTTTCGATACCGGTTAATTTAATTGTCTCGAGATAATATCGTAGAGCGCGCACGCTTGAATTTCAAAAGCTCCTGGCGTGAAGGGTTTCCGGCCGAACCGCACGTTTCATGCCAAAGTGAAGAACTATTGGTACTCATTTAATAAACGCGTTGCAGCTGTAACTCCGTGCAGTACAAAGCGTGCGTGTGACTGTACGAGAATGAACATACAGTGGCCGTGTGAAGTCTACACGAAAGTTTGGAAAGAGAATTTGTGAAAGTTCCGACAGGCAGCAAGCCTCGAGTCTGCAAAATACTGCGGAACGTCCTTCCACCCGTTCTGTCGGCGAGCTATTTCGCGAGAACTCAGAAGTCGATGTTCTCCGTCCCGCATTTTTCAACCGTTCTCCTTTCTTACTAGAATTAAGGCGACTGCCGTTAGCAAGGAAGGGCCGGAGAACGAAGGCGGAGGGAAACTGGCGCCGGTTTTACTAGTCTCGGGCTTATCTCCGAGTTAGCGTCGTATTTAAGGAAAACACGAGGCGGAACCGCGGGAGATCGTGAGGAAAGTTGGCCGAAACGGTGAACACAATGTGTAAGTAGTGGCGCGCGTTTGCCAGCAACAACGGTAAATACAGTTTGCCGACAGTTTGGTGTCTCTCGGTTTCCCCCTTTAACGTCCCAATTGTTCCCGCTACTCTCATCGTCTCGTAGGATTTTCGGTGTTAGTCTTTCTCTCTCTCTCACTCCTGCCTTCTCTGCTCGGATTTCTCTCTGCGGATGGAACTCGAGACGGAACGTCGAGGGAAAGAGGAAAAGTTCCCTCGAACTCGCGTCGCGCGCGCGTTCGCGTGCAAACCGAAATCCAACTTTTTTCTAACAAGCCGGATCACCCGCGACCTACTTCTGGCTGGTCCATCTCGATTTTCACCCTCCTCGCTCGCCTGACCGTTTCGATGGAATTATCGATCCATCTCCATAGATATACACCACGTAGGAAACGATAGGAGATTTAGTAGAAAATTGCTGGACGGGTAACGATTGAGAATTCAACGAGTTTCTTTTCTTTAATTTCGTTCCTTTCCTCGATTCATTCTTCAATTTCAACAAAAGATTTTAAAAACGCAATATACTCTATGGAGTGAAAAGAATCGTTATCGTGGACCATTTATCACTGAGTCAATGAAATAAAACGTCTTACGCAATGTAGTTCAAGTATTTCATCTAATTGTTTTTATCACGCAAGGATGATGGTAAGATGTTAATTTCAGATTCCCGTAATTAAAGTCACATCTTAATTATCACGTAATTCCGCGTTTTAATTACAATTTATAAAGATCTTGACTGAAAGACTCATTAATTAGGTACGAAGGAGAACACCGTGGGCTTCTCGGCGAGAAAAGGTGAGAGTTGCGGTAGATAAGTATAATACATTGGAAAGGAACGCGGCTCGAAGGTCGCATACGTTTCTTGAACGAAGTGTAATTCTTGGCGAAGAAAACGGGGCGTGGGTTCGTTGAAAAGCGTGCATCAAGATCTCGCGGAACGCGAAGACCCAGTGTACAATCGTTGTCCCAGCGAAACGGCAGTTTCGCTTTGCCTGTCTCTCTCTCTCTCTCTCTTTCTCTGTACGTTTTTCTTTTCCTCGTCCGAGACGCAATTTAATTAACGCTGCCGGCGGAAAACAAAGCGGCGGAAAAGCTCTTTCGCGGAAACTTTTTTCGTGTCCTCCTGTCTACGGGGTAACACAGCATTTTGTACGTTTCCTTCTGTGAGGCGAGTTCATCTCGAATACGAGACACGACAAAGCTTCTCCGGGATAATTCGTAGCAGAAAAATATTGAAATTCTTCGAGGGGTTTGCTTGCCCAGCCAGTGGAACGGGAATCGCTATTATGAGTGATGGCAATCTTTGTATCAGAGGATGGTGTTGCATTCTGGCTTTGCATTATTGTTTAAATGCTCTCATCTTTAACGGAGAATGCGCGTTGTAGTAAAGTAACGTCAGACGCATATTTTCGTACACATTTCCGAATTTGCTCTCTCAGTGTTTATGTTTGCTCTACGGTGAATCGAGGAAAAAGAACAAGGATCCCGTGACTCGCGGTTAATTCGTTGCGATAACTGATTCGTCTATCTTTAGGCCGGCGAGTGAGTGCATAGCGCGTAATGAGCGGGGAAGATCGGTGCGCAAACAAACAACCGTGAAAACCGCAAATTACGAGAACTTTGAACAGCCCGCTCGTCGCGGTTCCGGCGACGGCTCGGCACGCGGAGACACGCAAAGGGATTATCTTTGTGTCATTAGCTTTTGACGCGACGCCGCGCCGGAACCTCGTTAACCCTCATCCATCCCCCGAAATTCAATTCGACGCAACTGTCGCAAAAAGGCTTCCTACTTTATCGTACAATACGTTTTCGTTACACGATTCACTTGAGGGAATTTGTGTACGCAATCTTATGTAAGAATCTGCAAAGATTGATTGCACAAGAATTTGATTGATTGTACGTGGATTTCATTTTCTCGCCTTTGATTCGTTTACCGTAGTCAATTTCTTACGTCGTGTAAACTCGTCGGTGAATTTTATTTGTTGTTCTCAAGGTACGCCGAGCCGGTTCCACGCCGTAATTGATTTCGTATGCAAAAAATTTCGTGGCACTATTAAAATTCGTAACGAACGTCGTACCGAGAAATCGTGAGCCTAACTCGACCTTTAACGGCGTAAGTTGTATCGATCCGATTACGTGCTCTCTACCAATATGAATATTATCATCAGCCTTGGTCACAAGACTTGCGATCATATGATCGCGAAACTTGTCTCGTAACTGAGGAGAATGACTTACTTATTTGCAAGCGAAACCAGCTGTCTCGACGCGACGCATCGTCTATCGTCGATGACGTTTTCCCCGTTCGTCGTCGAAGTAAATATAGCAACCTGCGTACAGTGAATTCCAACTGAAAGAGAGACGGTCAGAGTAAGTTCGTAGAGATGGCACAGTCGCGATGACACTATCACCGGAAATCACAGCTTCAGATTTTGCGCGAATCTAGATCTAAATAGATGATTGCGATACGACTTATGGTCAGGACGCGGTGACGTAAACGATATGAATCTGTAATAATAATTAATCGACTGGAACGACGTTTCGTTTCTCACCTCGAATATCACGTCGATCACTTGGGCTACGGACGGTAGTTCTGTTCGAACCGTCCCTCTCGTCGCACGGGAGCGTCCGTATCTGATTGCTTCCAAAGTTCTTGAAAGAAACGCAGTCCCCTCGATAACGATAACAAATCTACGCACCATAAGACCGCGAATTATCCAGGTTAGTTGTCGCCAGATCGCGAACGTGTCTCCGATTCTAGTTATCTTATCAAAGGAACTTCAAAAAGTTGCCTGTTTACGGATGTTTCGACACTGTCGGAAGCTATCCAATCATTAGTCATTTAACTGTAAACTGGAGCATTCGAGAGCGGCAAAAACGAGTTTGAGAAAATCAGATCCATTTGTCACGTATTTTACACGGTTTTAGACAGGAACAGACATACGTCGATATAAGGCAATAAGCAAAGTTTGCGAGGATATTGTCGATGGAAATCGGGACGGGAACCTGACTGTATACTTGATGAACGATAGTAAATCGGCGATATTGGAGGATGGTGTGACGCACGGTTCCGCGCGATAACTCTCGGACTTTAGTGGACAGTCGTAACTATTAAATCGTTTGACCCGTTTTAATTGGCAAGTTGAACCACTTCGAGTAGGACGGTTGCCAGTGAACGAAGCGACCGCTTCGCAAGTGCCGCGGAATCGAACGGTGGACGCGGTCCGATCGGTCGTTCGCCTACGGTTCCGATTTTCCATAGCGAGAACTGTAATTGACACACGGCAGGTGCATATAGAAAAAGATGGTGACGAACGGTAGCAGTGGCAACGGGAAAATCTCGACGATAAACGGTGAGAAACTGTGCTCGGGCTTGCGTAATTACCGTTGAGGGTTACACAATGCGCGACGCGACGTTGCGTTTTGGCGTCCGGACGCGCGCGACGGATCTGCTGTTTTGCCCGTCACGTTTCCCGTAATTTTGCAGTGGAACCCGACGACCCGTTGGATGGAGCAGCGGATATCGAGAGAGCGTTGACGGAGACAGGTCAGACGATGGATGTCAATTCGTTGGGATTCTCCGCAAACTCTTCTTCTCTTGTATATTCGTGTCGTTTGCAGGATATGGAAAGTTTAACGTGTTTCTATTGGTGGCCGCGTTGCCTGTCGCGTGGGCCGGGATCTTCGACACGACCACGACCGCCTTCTTTCTGGCTTCCGCCGAGTGCGAGTTAGACCTCACTTTCATCCGCAAGGGTGTCCTGGTCTCGATACCCTTCATAGGTACGCTGCCTCGTTCCCTTCCAGTTAAACATTCATTTCATTTGAAACAGTCAAACATTTCATTCATTGAGATTAATCGTATTTGAACCTTAAAAAAATCCGATTCTGAATTCTTAAGGATGTATTGGCTATACAGTCAGTTCCAAAAATTTATGTACCTTAGAAAAACGCATTTCCTATAATTAAAAAGGAATTAGACATCGGAAGAACAATGATTTGAAGAGAAATTTGTTCATAAAACACTGGCGATTCGATATGACCTTTTTCAAGTGTTTATCACCGTTTTTTCTGGATTATTTTCAAGATCAAATAAAGTTTTCTTTGGGTTATTGCTGATTATCATAAGAGTACATGCAAATTTTAGGTCACTATAATTTTTCAAAAAACCCATGAATTGATTTAAAATTTTACAAGTAGCTTTTTAATAGTAATAGGAATCTATAGTAACAAATTCAACGTGCTAGCATTGTTTAAGTATATAGCCTATACAGCCTTAAACAAATATCTCGTACGGATGAGTCTTCAATTGTCCCTTTTCGAATTCACGCAGCCATGACGTTGACCAGCTTCTTATGGGACCACGTAACACCCTACGTCGGGAAAAGGAACCTGTTCGTCCTCGGCCTCTTAGCGGATTCTATTCTCAATATCTTCTCTACCTCCGTTGATTCATACTACGTGATGCTGCTTATCAAATTTCTTAGCGGTATTCTGTGAGTCAAATCGATCTCTCAACAAGCATCGAAATATGGACGTTGCAACCATTGTCACGCACATATCTCGTTTAATATTGTTATCTGCGACCAAAGGATTTTCTTCCCACTTCGTGATTTACCAAACGTATTACTAGATAAAAAGATAAACTAATTGATATAATTTTTCAATGATATCGTAAAACTGTTGAAATCGTTCCTTATTTTTTAATCATTTGAAAATTAATCTTAATCTTTCATACATAGTAAAGTTCGAGAAAATTAGATTTCAAGGAAAAATGAAAGATAATCACTGTTTGTTTTCTGTATCTTTATCTGACACTTAAATACACATACTAGTCTGTGACCGGAAGAAATGGCTTTATATAAATCGACGACCTACTGTAAAATGTAACATCATGACGTCCGTGGTTCGAACAAGCTTACGTTCCCAGCTTGAATTATAAATTCACTCGGGGAGATGAAAATTTCAGCGCTGGGGGGCCATTCTCGATGGTTGCCGCTTACCTCTCCGAGTTTCACGCGACTAAATACAAAGCGAACTTCACGAGATGGGGCGGTTTCGCGATGAACGTTGCGATTGTTTTCCCAGCAAGTAAGTCGTAGCATCATCCATTTAATTTCCCTCGTTGTTCGAGCAACCGTATTTATTTTTCAGTAATCGCGTTCCTGATCACCCCTTTGACGTTCGTCGTGAACGTGTTCGATCGACGGTACTCCGCGTGGCGGGTTTACCTGTTGCTGTGTTCCATCGTGCACGTTGTCGGCCTCGTCACGGCCAGCACGCTGCCTCAGAGTCCCAAATTCTTGTTAGAAATCGGTAAACCGAACGAGGCTTTGAAGTTACTAGGAAAAATGTACTGCATCAATTTAGGGAAGCCGGCGGATACTTTTCCGGTAAGATCTCAGCTTTTTTTTTGTCAAACAAATTGTCGATCCTGGGAAAAGGAGTTGTGACGAACAATATACTTCAGCGTTTAATAAAAGTACAATGCATATTCCATACATTCTCAGTGACAACTTATTAAATGACTAGAATGCTTTTTTTCAAAATAACAATACTAATTACAATATTTATATCTACATAAAAATATAATTAAAACGACATTTCATTGATTTATAATGCAATTATAAAACGAAAGCTACTGAAACGATTTTTGGTAAAAACAAACACGAGATAGTATTTTCACAGTGGAATAAAAGTCGTTTCTCTCTGGAGATATGTCGCGTCGGCGGACAACACCGAACCCGTAATTCACTCGAGATTTCAAGCCAGTTTCGCTCCCATTGTTTTTCTCCTATCCACTTTATTCCTTTCCTCTTGTTCTTTTTTTTTTTTTAGATAAAAAGATTGCTCATATGGAAGGACCTACCGCTGTCGCAGCCGTCGTTATTCAAGGCGAACGCCGATAAGCTACGACTCGCCTGTTACAATACCAAACTTCTGTTTTCGTCGCCGTATTTGCACGCCGTCGCCTTTCTCAATTTCCTTCAATTCGGCAGCATGTTGGGGTAAGTCCTGCATGATTTATTAAGAAACACTTTCGTTTGCACCCCGCGTGTTGTACATTTGCGTAGATTTCACACGATGAGACTTTGGGTGCCGCATATGTTCATCATCTTGAATAATTTCGACAATGAGAGGTGGAACAAGGACCGTGCGCCGACCATGTGCGAGATGTTAGATCGCCGGAATACCATTCCGGCCAGGGATTACCTAGACTGCCCGGGTTTCGACAGTATTTGTATACAGGTCAGTATTTATTACGTGTACGATCGACTTTCAATATTCAGTACATGTATTTTAATGAATTCCAGAATCTGTTTGAAAGAAACAAGTTCATGTCGCGCAAGTTTCATTTAATAATAAAATAAATACTGAAACTAACATCTGAGAGTCTGGAGAATGTGCTCATGTATAATGTAATGTTAGGAAGAGTTTGAATGGTGAGAAGAATAATTTAAAGGATGTAGGAACAATGTTGTGAAAGAGAGTAGGGAACAGAGGATTTAGAAGAGAATACAATATGACAACTCTTTTTTAAGTGGACGATTAGGGCGACGGTATATCAGAATTCAGCCATCATCGCGTCATCGGCGGTCGTGTTTTCTTTCCTTGCCGGTATAATAACCACCACGAAATTTAGAAGAAAACTGATAATGGGTAAGAATCGTCATTGATTAACGACGATTATGATTATTATTCATTTTTTAAATCATAATATATATATATATANTTCATTTATTTCTATTAAACTATAACTAATTTAAACTAACCCATCCTACAACAAACATAAAATTAACTAACATGACTAGACATAAAAGGAATAGAAAATCAACAGATATATACTTTATCTTTCTTTTGGTGCACAATCACATATAAATTTAATTAAGATCATAATATAATTGATTTTATCTTACACAATTTTCCACGTAACTTCTCTAACCGCGGACGTATACTTAGTTTTGTGTACGTAACGTGTTCACATAAAATAGTGCAATTTGATGTAGTGCATTCTGAAATGCATAAGCTGGAACTGTTGCAGCCGCCGCCTTCTTCCTATCCGTGGTAAGCAGTTTTGGAATGAACTGGGCGCAATCTGCACCCTATATGCTGACGCTGGCAAGCGCTATCATCGTGACTATGAGGATAACGGGTAATATCGTTACTGCCGTGAACGTCGACGTTATTCCTATCCCTTTAAGGTAAAATACGCCCCCGTTGCAATTAACTCATCAGCTATTCCATATGTTCAAACGTTGTGTCGCGAACATTTATATCGTATGTATTATAAAATACATAATTACACTGTGTCGATGCATAGGAATAATTACGTAGCACTATGTTCTTATACACGACTGGATAACGTTTTCAAAAACTACAATTGCAGCAGTATGACGTTTCTTCAACCCTTGTTTCACTAAATTCATTCTAGAGTTCTCATACCTAAAGTTGTTTTTATTTATCACTTCAAGTGATTTCAATTTCATTTTACAACGATTATAGATCTACCAGTTTGAATATGCTGACGGCTGTAGGGAACGTGGGAGCCATCGTTGGGAATTTCGCGTTTTCCGCATTGTTGGACGTGGACTGTCTAGTAGGATTCATGGGAATTGGAGGTCTCCTGTTCGGTGAGTCACCGATTAAGACCGAATTCAACCCTGTTTTTCAACCCTCGTATCTGATTTATGTTCAGTTTGCTTTTGCGCATCCTTCTTCCATCCACAATCAGTGAGGGGATCATAGAAGAGACTCGATCCGGCGACTGAACGACTGTACCGGAGGAGAAATCTCATCGATTTTTCCCGTGATACGTGGAAACAGTACCGTCATCGTCGGTCGGCAACGCACCCTCGCCCCAATTGTGATATACCCGCAACGTACTTTATCGGTGTGTTATCAAATACAGAGAACTCTGCCTCTACTTCGCTACCAACTGAATTTTTTTATCGATTGTCAGAAATATTCTCCCCGGTGGAAACATATTTTAATAATTGTTAAATAAAACGTTTACCCAAATCGAGAGAACACTTTGATTACAAATTCCAATGAGAAGTACTTCAAATTCTAAACAGATTCCAGATTGCGTTACTATTATTTCTTACATAAATTCGATCGAGTGTCGTTGAATGTGTCATTCATCATTATCATTCTCTTTAAACTCGTCTCGGAAAAATTCAAATTGATTATGTAACAGCGAAGAACGCTTAAATAATCTTGAATATCTGATCAAATAAAAATGCTTGTATGTGTATAGACTTTCTGTTCCGCTGATTGACGAATGAACGAGCATCGATTCACGAATCCAATTAACAGTATAATAATGTGATTCATGGAACGTCCAATAATGCTACTCCAACTCGAACGCGACAATTGGCGCGCACAGTATTCGCACACAGTGCGCCTTGTTGCGCAAGCCGGGTAACATAAATAATGTCGGAATCGAAAGATCGATCGCAATTTTATATGCAAGTCTAACCGAATTCAATTCCGATCTTAATTTTCACAAAAACTATACCAACAGAGAGGAATATTATTATTACCTTGAGAGGAAAAGTAAAAATATTTTTCTTTATTAAAGAGACCAGAGTTTGATATTAAACATAATTCGAATAACTAAGAAGGAAAATTGACTTACCCAATTATAGGATACAAAAACAGAAGCTGCTTAAGCTTAAAATTGTATAGGACCTTTCTTGTAGAGAGCGACGAGATCTACAATTTCTATATAAAAGTTTTTCGCTAGCATTAATATTTAACGAGTTATTGACGAAAAGCTGTTTTTTCGTTTTTCTTCTTAATTACAGGCAATTCTTCTTTGTAAGGTACATAAACTTTTGGAATTGACTGTACAGCCAATACATCCTTAATATTGCCTGAATGACTCGATTTCGTTCATGAAATCGAGATTCAAATATAATGCACACACCCACGTTATCGCTGTAAGGATCAAGTTATCCTTCACCGTATAAGCAGAATGCAGAATATAAATTATATATTTTCAGTCACGTCATACATATTTATTTAGATACATATGTATAATCCTTTTTAACGCCTGCCGAGACGGCATTGTTAATTAATGCGCAAACAGTATTTACAATTCCACCGCTCAAGCGTGTGATCAGCATTTTCGTTTAAAAATATTTTACCAGTATGTGCATATACTTAACTCATACTAAATGAACTTGAACAGCATCTTTGAAGCATATACTATACACTATTTCTTTATTTTTATTATTTTATTATTAGATTGTCTGAGACTAACAATAGTATTCAGTCAAATGATTTTATATAGTAACATAAGTAATGTGATCAATCTTTACGATATATCGCGATTCGTCGTTACAATGAATGTATTCCGACGGATGTTGGTCTAAAATCGAAGGAGGACTGGGAGGCAGGAAGCAGGATTAGTCTCGTTCGTATTCCGACCGAAGACATATCTGCATCGTTCTGTTCCAATCGAACCATTGACCCCTCTAAACTCTTAGTCTGTATTGAATTGGAATTATTATCATCAATAAATAGAATTCATTACTATAGTAATATGAAATAAATATAGTAATTCTAATATAGAAATTCTCGATTATATACCTTAATTTTTTTTGTT